AAAAACTGAAGTTCTTGTACTTGGCCCTAAATATATAGTTACTCTAGATGGTATTACCTTGGCCTCCAGCACCACTGTCAGGAATCTTGGAGTTATCTTCGATCAGGATATTTCCTTTAATGCACACATAAAGCAAACCTCTAGGACTGCCTTTTTTCATTTCGGTAACATTACAAAAATTAGACACATCCTGTCAGAGAAGGATGCAGAAACACTAATCCATGCATTTGTTACTTCTAGTCTGGATTACTGCAACTCCTTATTATCAGGTTGTACCAATAAGTTCAGAATAGAATTTAAAATCATCCTCCTCACCTACAAAGCTCTTCATTATTAGGCCTCTTCATATCTTCAATTCAATTCAATTCAATTCAATTCAATTTTATTTGTATAGCGCCAATTCATAACAGAAGTTATCTCAGGACACTTTTCAAATAGAGCAGGTCTAGACCGAACTCTTTAACATTAATTACAGAGACCCAACAGTACCACCATGAGCAAGCACTTGGTGGTACTGTTCAAGAGCTCATAGTACCCTATTACCCCACTAGAACACTGCATTCTCTGAATGTAGGGCTACTTGTGGTTCCTATAGTCTCTAAAAGTAGAACAGGAGCCAGAGCCTTCAGCTACCAAGCTCCTGTCTTGTGGAACCAGCTTCCAGTTTCGGTTCGGGAGGCAGACACCCTCTCCACATTTAATAGTAGGCTTAAGACATTCCTCTTTTATAAAACTTATAGCTAGGGCTGGCTCAGGTGAGTCCTAAACCATCCCTTAATTATTCTGCTACAGGTCTAAACTATCAAGGGGATTTCCCATGATGCACTGAGCTCCTTTCATCCTCACCCTCTCTTTCTGCACGCATTCATGCCCCATTAATGCATGTTACTAACTTCACTATTTCCCCGGAGTGCTTTCTTGTCTCGCAGGTTCTCATGGATCCTTGATGGAACCTCCTGCCATGGTCCTGCTTGACTCCCACTGCTAATATTACTGATATTATTGTTATTATTATTATTATTATTATAACTACAGTTACTATTATTACTATTATAAATGCTCATTGTCCCCCATCAATGTGGCTGTTGTCGTCATCATCTTCTTCATGTTTATCATCATCATCACCATCAGTCACTACTATTAGTGTAGTTGTTGCTGTGCACTTTTGTCTCTGTCTCTGTCCTTCTGTCGTTTCCTGCAGTTATTGTGTTCACTATCTGGGTTTATTGTATAGTTTTATCTGTTGTTCTGGGCTGTTCTTGTTATACATTGATGTGAAATACAATAAGTCATCGGTTTACGAAATTATTCCGAAAGTGGTCCTTTAAGGAATCATTTTGGGAACCACTGATTTACATGGTCTTGAGAACATATTAAAAAACATTTACTTTCATTGAAATGACATGAAAAATGTGTCTTGAAAGTCTTTATTTGCATGAGAAGATCACTCAAAAATTGACAAAACAAGTATTTGACAGTTTTTTTAAATCACCAGCTACATAATCTGCAGTCCAAATGAAAACCGACCCACAACCAAAATCAACCACTTGCAAATTGAGTACAAAGCAGCTGATTGTTATTCATGTTTACATCAAAATGTTTGTGCTCACAAGACTATATTTTAGAATTACAATCAGCTAAAAACCAAACAAAATGAAAATTTCTCTATAAAGAAAATATGTGAATTTACCCGACATGTATGTGGACACAAAAGCTGCGAAACAGACATTCACCAGAAACTGATAATGCTGCAATAAACAGCATGTAAACAAACCTGCAAAACTGCAAAAAGTTCCCACCCTACAATATTCATTAATCATTAACAATGATATGATACAATCAGCTGAAAACCAAACAAAATTATGTTTTCTCTTTAATTTGAATTTACCCGATATGTATGTGGTCACAGAAGAATTGATTAAAAGAAAACTAAATATTGTGTGTCTTAAAGTCTTAATGGTAGGAGGATATTCGTATGAACTCCAAACCCCCCAAAAAAAAAAGATAATTTCTCTGATGAGTCACAAAAGCATGCATTTCTCACTATGGAGTTGGTTTGTAACGGTTGCACCTGTCTCCAGTCAGATAAGAGTCGCAAGTCAGAGTGTACTGGACCTCAAAGCCGCCTCTCTTGGCCGGACAGGTGAATCTGTGTGTCCCCTGGCTCAGGTACCTCACACATGATCCCAGACGGTCGTCATGTCTCAAGTCCTGGTCCCAGACCTCAATCTTCAAACCCCAGTGTGTATCCACCTTCATAAAAAAAAATTTATTTATAAATATGATAACATTAAAAATATTATTATCATTTAAATGTTGAGTTCTATAAGTAAAGAGAACAGTGGTTCATGACATGTTTGTACACATAGATATGATCTTGTACTTTTTCAAATCTATTAATATATCTAAGGACAAAATGTATCAGTGGATGGGACCACTCAGGGGGAAATAAAAAATTAAGACAGTTAATAGATTCCTCCATTTTGGACTCTCCCGTTCTCTCCTTTCCCTCAGCAGTCCGCACTGTTAAGACCATAGATGGATGTATTAAGGATAACTAGATACTGAATTCAAAGATAGTGCCCCATCCATTCATATGAAAGTTGCTCATTTCCGGCTGATTTTCTGTTGGCTCCTCACATATGTGAATGGGATAGAATAATTTTATGGATTTTTGTAGACTTTCCAAATAGAATAATTTTGGGGTGCACTTTTTCATAACTTTTTGGGCTGTTTGTGCATCATGTGATGATCCTGGAAGTTGCAATACTGAGCTTAGCACTGTTCCTGGGACCTCAGTCAATTGATATTATTATTGGTTTTAAGGTGTTTAGTTTCCACAGGAAAGTTTGTTTTCACGTGGTGGCAAGAATTGTTGTTATTTACACACATTTCTTGGAAATTTTTGTTAACTGACCCAGTAGACATAGTATCTCCAGTCTACAGCATAAGAAGTATATCAGACCTTAACTTTCTTTCAGGATGAAAAATGGCATTAACGGTTTAACAGGGCATCTGTAATGACATAATTTACTGACCTTGCCCAGATAATAACGGGCGTTCCACCAGGGGTAGTTTGAGCGGATCATATGAGTCCTGCGATAGTGGGGACCGTACCACATCTTAGCATAGCTGTGAATGGTAGAAAACAAGGAAAAGCAACTGGTACATTAATAACAATTAATATTGTTGTTTGGTACACCACCTTTAGATCTCAATACCGGGCCTCACTTTACTCACCTCTCAGTTTTGCCAGTTATATCTCCTTTCAGATTCCAACCTCTGATGATGGTCACCATCAGTGTTCCCCTCGAGGCCTGTTTAGGACAGCAGTTGGACCCACAACCTGGTGAGGACTTCTTCACGGCATTGTCTTCTAAGTATTGCTCTATGGCAGCCTTCACACCTGCCTTCTTCTTCTCATTTGGCACCAGCTCATTTATTGGCCTAAGGGAGTATGAAACAATATCTGGGTGGTCCTTAAGGGTATTCAGCCATTTCCTGTAACCCATGGAGTCATTGTGAGTGAGCGAAAACTCCCCCAACCAACCAGTGCCTCCTATCAACGCTGTGTAGTGTTGGTGGAGACCAGAGCTGTACAAGGCAGTGGAACCCTGGTTCTGTAGGACTTTGTTGCAAGACTTTTGGCTACTAGATAATTTCACAATCCCCAGGCCTACAGAGACACCAAGTGATAAGCAGTTGTGGACCTAGAAGAGAGGAGAGGAAATAAGATGTCATTCATAGTCAATGGACAATGCAGACCATTTAAATAGTGCCTTTATGCTGAGAGCAGTGTATGGTGCATCAGACACATTCATACATGGTGGTAAAGACCTGCACACCAAGAAGGATGTGACGAAAATGGCCACAAAGCATGAAGGTGCCTTACAACTAGGCACATAAAACAACCCTAAATTCAAAAAAAAAAATTTTTTTATATTTTTTGGGGGGCTTTTTCTCTGTATTGGATAGGACAGCTAATGATGGAGAGGAAAGGGGGTCAAGAAAGGGGACGACACGCAGCAAAGGGCCACAGGTCAGATTTGAACCCTGGGCCGCTGCAGCAAGGACTCTGCCCTGGCACATGGGGTGCTAGCTGTACCAGGTGAGCTAACCGGGTGCCCCAAAAGTCTACAAACTTGACCACAACTCAAATTCCTTGTCAGTCAAGGAGTGTAACATTTTTACCTAAACTCACAAGACAAATTCACAAAGCTCAAAGACAGCATCGTTGGTCAAGACAAGAAACAACGTATTTTTGAGTGGACATATGGTCACCTTATTTAATCAGTTAATACAGATTTTGGAATAGTTGCTAGGGATTTTAATTGGCCAATAATTTGGATAAAACTCTGTACAATCGTAATTCATTTAAGGCTATAAAGATGGCCTCTAATGACGCAGCTTTTGTTGATGAAAGACTATACCTTTTATTCAGCTAAACACAGAATATACTTTTGGTTGTTTTTTTTCTCTTCAAAATAAGATTTCTTATAGTTTTTAAATCTTAGTCTAAACATCATTACACGTATTGACTTAGAAATGTAGCTTTTGCTGTGGATTGTCTGCTTATACACACCTCATTACACATTAAATATCTAAATAAAGGAAGATTCAAATTTGAATACAGAATGGAAACAAGGGGAAACACAAAACAATAGGAGTATATGGGGTTTGGAAAATACCAACATACAAATGATTTAATGTTTGTGTGCATCTAGAGTGTGAGTATTAATATGCATTGTGGTAAGTGATGTGTGTTACATGTACCTCATTTGAGGTGAACCCATTCAGTGTGGACAGACAAGTACGTGCAGCTGTGACCCGCCTGAGTCGCCCCCCAAGGTCAACCTGAAAATGAAGAACAATGTTGCTGAGACAGAAAATATATGCTGTATTTATTTGTTAAAGGTAATTAAGGTGTGTACATGTGTGTGTGTGTGTGTGTGTGTGTGTGTGTGTGTGTGTGTGTGTGTGTGTGTGTGTGTGTTTTTAACCTGGCGGATGTAGTGTGTGCCATAGGTATGTATGAGCTCACTGTACTGAGCCCTGGTGGAGTCGTTGTAGAGACTTGGCAGTCTGGCCACGTCCTTACTGAACTCTGAGTTGAGGGGTGGTTCGCTTGACACACGGTAACTAGACACAAAGAGACAGAATAGTTAATTATCTCTAACAGAGATTATCTAAACAAACTTGAATGAAAAATCTTGAGTGATGCAGGGATCTTCACACCCTACCGATAATGGCTGCAGGTGAGTCTGTGAGTGCTGAAGGTGTGGCGGTCCTCTCTGGTCCTCTCTGAAGCAAACTTATAGGCAGTGGAGCGTGTTCCTCCCACCTCCAGGCCGGCTGATACATACTTCTCTAAATTTAGGCCAATCTGATCAATAAAAAATAAAAACTCAGCCATTCACCCAAAATCACCATTATATAGTGTATTAAATACAACCATTTATTCATATAACCATTCATACTTGTTCTGGTAGCCTTAGGGCTGAGACAACTGTTAGTCGACAAGAAGAGTCTTAGTCTTCCAACTTTTCATTAGTTGGATAGTCGCCAATGTCACACTCTGTTTGGGAGCTTTGCCTTGTCACCAGCACGAAGGCATCAGGGGATTTGTGCAACACGGACTTTAACTCTTGTAACACTGGACGTGTCTTTGCGGTGCTCTGCTTCATGAGCTAGCTGTAGTAGCTGCTGCCACTAGCTAGTTAGCGGCCCTATAAGCTGACTGTACCCAGATAATGAGCTATAAGTACAGGGTGAGGTTTGCTTACAGTACTAACATAGGAGCTGGGCAAGAGGGCATCGAAACCTGGCTCATCAACCTCCCTGTGACCATGGCCAGGACGGAATACTGCTGACAATGTCGGAGGTCAGGTGACCTGTTGATGAACAGAGGCTCCGACCAGGACTCTGATTACAGTTTTGTTTGCTCTGTTTGATCCTTTTTCATCACGTTCAGAATTATTACCACTAATGAAAAACTTTTATAGAAGTGTATCTTATTGAAGCATCAAGATGCTCCAAATCCTAATCATATCTGCCCTTTGATCAGAACTTGCAGTTTTTATTTACTGAAAATTTGAGTTAGTTGCCCAAAAAAAAATTCAGGACAATGGTGGAGACTTCAGTGGTAAAAGAAGTAAAAGAATCGTATGTTTACATGTGTGCATATCTGCACCTGCCAGTTATAATATTACTCTGAAATGTTCAGTTCATGTAAGCAATAGCTGTGAGGTGTTTCCTACCTTCCAGTCGCTACTGTCCTGGGAGGTGTAAGTTTCAATCAACGAGCTGTGGACACAAGAAGAATAACCCTTAAGGTTTTTACAGTCAATTTACAGTCTGTTAAGTTAATATTGTGTCTCCAGTACATTTCAGGCTGTCTGTATAAAATAAAGTTACGAATCAGACAAGACTTATGGACTTGTGATGTGACATAAAATTTGATCTGTTAAAAGTAAATGGTGAGCTGAATTTATACTTAACATATGAAAATGGCTGATATAACTCAGAGATATAATGCTGTATAACACAATACCTAACAGAGGTGTGTGCACTGCTGTAGATGTCAGCATTGCATCGACTGAATGTACGCCAGTTCACTGCAGAGAGCGGCAGCTGAAAATGAAAGTGGTAACATTGTGGTTAACATGCACACATAAAGTATGTTCAACTGTCACTGGAAAATTAATTATTTATATATTATTGTTTATTTATTAATTACTTTCTGCAGCTGGTCGCCTTGAAGAGGGTTGGAGCAGAGGGTACAGGTGCCATTTGGGGTGAGATAGGTCCTCACATCAACCATGTAGGCTCCTTTACGCTGCAGGGTGACCACATCAAAGCCCTCCCCCACCAGGTTGTGGCCTGGTACAAAGGGAGCGGACTCACACTGACTGCGGGTCCCAGTCCGACAGGAGAGAACAGGGGAATGATACGACAGAAAGAGGATGAGACTCAGATAGAGAAGGGGTGGGGTTGAAAAGGAGAGCATGGCTGGAGTTGAAGAGACACTGAAATATTTCAGAAAAAAACAAAGAAAGAAGAAAAGGAAATGATCAGTGAAGGTGCATATTATCTTTGTGTTTCTTGTCATTTGTTGTTTTGTAACCAGGTAAAAAAGTTATATTGTCTATTATGCTGTACAGAATTGTGCATGAATGTGTTTTTGGTAAACGGTCAACTGAACATATCAATTTACATCTTCACTAGGAATCAGTAGGCCTGGGGCTGTCTTGAATCTTTGTACGGTTAGCAATCTGAGCTGGTCAGTCACAAAAACAAACACTTTTGGATGGACGTACTTTGATGGTGCACTTTTGCCTGCAAGAATTACGTTTTAACCTGTTTGTGGCTGCAACGCTTTCACTCAATACTGGACCAAATTCATAACGTGTTGTCTACATTAGTCACTATGACACAAAAACATAGAAAAACAAGGTTCAAGTTGAGAAATACCCAAATTATCCTTTAAACCTGCATTCTGTATAATGGCCTGCAGGGGGCAGGTATAATAGACATTAAAGCAGGGTAGGATTGAGGGTGTGGCTACCTTTGACTGAAAAGTCATTCTCAGTGAGTCTGTCCAAAACACACATAAAACTATTAAATTAGGCAGTGCCGATCAAAGGAAGATATTTTAGTGCACTGTTTGTCAAAAAAGAAAAGGTTTGATTACAGAATGAACATCATGTTGTATGAAGGAAGACTCGCTCCCTGCAGGCCATTAGACAGAATGCAGGTTTAAAAGGTAATTTGGGTATTTTTCAACTTGGACCTTGTTTTCGATGTTTATGTATCAAAGTGACTAATATAGACAACACATGTTTTGGAAATAAAATGATGCAAATTCAAGGTTCAGAATGACACATTCTGCCCATGAAACATAAAACTCATAAAAATACTTATACATACATACTTATGAATATTATATTTAATTCCTGACAATAGATCACCCTGAATATTACACACTGGACATTTAAGTATATGATTTGTACCCTTACTATAAAGTGCCCAGTGACAATAACAATTCAACTATTGATTGGCAAGGTGTGCCAATGCCAGGAACAGCCATAACACAGTAAGTCTTTATCTTTGAAATGTTTAGTATACAAGGGAAACTTGGACCTACATTGTAATACAGACAATATTATGACACACCAAGATGAAACAGTGTAAAACATTAACAAGCAGTTACATAGAGGAACATTACTTCCTCAACCAGACAATACTGGCAACTTATCTGATCTGCAGCTACACTGCTAGATGGCGCTAAATTGTACACACTGGACCTTTAAACCTGCAGTATTTGTTTTGTTAGTGACCCAGTAAAGTCTGGTTGAGGAAGTAATGCTTGTTAATGTTTTACACTGTTTCATCTTGCCGTGTCATAAAATGGTCCGTATTAGAGAGTAACTCCAAGTTTCTCTTGTATACTAAACATTTCCAAGATAAAGACTTTGTGATTTGATGATTTGTGATAACGATTTATTACCAAGGACACAGTCTTATTTCTTGTGCCGCAGTTTTTTTTGCTTGTATCTGCTGTTGTTATTCTTGCACACTGTGTTAGGCCTGTTCCTGGCATTGGAAATTGTTATTGTCACTGGGCACTTTATAGTATGGGTACAAATAATATACTTAAATTAGGATGATCTATTGACAGGAATTTAATATAATATTCATAAGAATGTTTTATGAGTTTAATAATCACCATTAGGAATCCTTTCCTTTTTCGTTACCTTAGAATGAGACATTTCATTTACAGGCGCTGTGGGTTGTCTTCCATGGAGTCCACCATGTTTCCATGTCATGTTTCTACAGTAGCCCAGAATGGCCCAACCAAACACTGGCTGTTTTTCTTAAGTTTCGTGACCATCGTAGTTTGTCCTACAAGCTTCACAGCCTGTTTTCATTCTCAGGTCGACAAATACAGACACCAGCGGTGTTCAATTAGCTGCTAATTGTTATGCGACCAAATTTGTATATGATTTGTTACCCCTATTATAAAGTGTTCTTTGCTTTAAAGTTGCCACAATAGTGGAAATAATTAACACATTTCACCCAGAATTTGTTTTTGATCACTTGAATATTGTTGAAAATATATCACAGTGAAAAAGAATTCTCCTTCCTTTAGAACCACATAATGCAAGATTACTGTAGATTGTTTCATTCTGTTAACATCCTGAACCACCACATCTCTGACTTCTTATCTCTGATTCATTTGATTTATTTGTTTTGAACTATATCACACTGTATAAACATTTATCTTAATTATTCTGCCTTAAAAGGAGAAAAGTACAACACCCATCTGACATAGATTAAAAATAAACTGTAAACACCTTGGAATTACATAATTTTATTTCCAAAATATGTATATTTTGCAACTCTAAAAGATGTGTTTGAACACTTTGTTTCAAAACCTTGAACTGTACCTGCTGCTGTTTGATACAGAAGTAAGTCAGATTAGAAAGTTATTTACAGGGTTCAACAACATTGTTAAAGAAAAAAGGACAAAGAAATTATCTGAACTTCTGATTGTAGCATATCCACACAATCCCAACATAGCATGTAGAGCTATGAACTGCAAATGTCTAGTGAAGTCTCTTCTGTGAGAATTGTTGGTCGTTGGTCCAGCATCAGAGCCCAAATCATGCTGTCCGTCTACTCTAAATCATTTAACATGAATTTGCTATTAAAAGCTGTTGATGGTATCTGTATCTTTTAAACATTTAAAAACATTTTTTTTACCTGTTCCAGATGCCCAAAATGATGATGTTGCTTCTCCGCTTCTAGTCATGAAAATCAGAACCAGCAAGAGAACGAGCCTTTGTTCTTTGATCAGAAATAAGTGGAGGATGGAGCTTCTTATCTTCTATCTTAATTGAGCTTATGTCTGAGAAAGGGAAAGTTAAAAATCAAAGGAGATAAAGGTAATAAAAAAATGAACAGGAAATGACCTTCTATTTAGGTCAGGGTTAAAGAAATGTTTTTAGAGTAAATTACTGGGATATGAACGCAACACAGAGGAGACTAAACATATAGCTTTGACAGGGGAAATTGTTAGTGTATTTCATAACTAACTAGAACCATACTGACTAACAATGTCAAAATTGCCAAATTTCAAACTACTGCTCACTAGAATTGTCTCGATCATACGAGGAATAATTATTGAGTGAATGAGGGAGTGATTTTGGATAGTCTGATCATAGTGTTTTCTACGCAAACTTTATCCAGCAGCAGCAAATTCAAAGGTATTTTTGTGATCTTAAAGATGTCTACTGTCTGCCCTGGAAAGGTTAAATGCTTTCCCAGGTCAAAAACAATGTTTATATCCAGACTGCACAGCCACTGAGACTGCTGTTATAGGTAGCATGAGAGGAAAGCAGAGCGGAGCTGACACTTCATGTTCTGGCGCATGACCTTTAAAGATTCAATGTGCTGTTGGTCAACAGAAAAAAGTACCATTTAGATTTTATCTGTGGTTTGTGTAGGGAATGTCACGTGACCAAATCCTGTAGAAACATCTTGAGGTCACTAATGGGGCTAGCTGCAGGAAGTGACGACTATGAGCTATTGTGACAATGTGTTCAATTCGCCATGGCTGTTCGTTTATCCTCAACTGTAAATGGGAACCAAATAACAGAAGGATTAACAGGACGCAGTGCAGTGCTCAGGATCAGGTGAGTTGTAACAAATGGATCTTGGATTGACAGGAATATAATGTTACTTGTACATATTTTACTGTGAAATTTAAAAACTATATAGTTTTGCAGGAATGTACATCAGACAGCTTGTCGTCATTGATATCTTTGCCTCAGACACACACACAAATGAATTAATTTATTAGCAAAAACAGATTTGATTACATTCTGGGTTGAATGTGGTGCTGCACTGTAATGTCGGTTTATGTTACCAAAAGCTCACTAGCTCAAACATACAGTTTGATGTCTGTGAGATGTTACCTGTATACTGTACACCATGTAGCAGGTAGTGCCATAACATGTCACCATAATCCATCCATTTATGTGGATCAATGAGGTTGTTTGCAGTACTCAACCTGGGGATCAGGAGCCCACTAGGGGTCACCAAAGCTTCACAGAGGGTTTGCGAGACCTTCTTTATTTTAAGGGATATAAGAAAACTTTAAAAAAAAAAACTTATCTTAACGTTGTGTTCATTTCCATGAAGAAAAATAAGTGAAATTGTTATTTTTTCCAAGTTTAGATTTTGTACTGGAAAGGTTAAAACAACCGAAGGACTAACAGAACAATGAGATGAAAACACTGAATTTGTCAAAGAGAAGCATAATAAGTATATATGATTGTTTTTATTTTTATACAGAGTCTATCAGGAAAATTAATCTCTGATGCAATATTGAATACAGGAAATAATCTGCTCAAAAATCATCCAAATCGCTCATTTTACACAAACTTCCTGCAGTTATTGTGTTCTATACTGTTGTTGTTATACATTGAATATAAAGTGAAATAGCCATAAAATAAGTCATTGGTTTATAAAATGAGAGGAAAGTGGTCTTTTAAGGAAACATTTTGGGCACCACTGATTTACATGGTCTTGAGAACATATAAAAAAACACGTTTAATAACAATTTAATGACATGAAACTTGTGTTTTGATAGTCTTTATTTGCATGAGAAGATAACAAAAAAATTGACAAAACTAGTATTTGACAGTTTTTTAAAATCACCAGCTACATAATCTGCAGTCCAAATGAAAACCGACCCACAACCAAAATCCACCACTTGCAAATTGAGTACAAAGCAGCTGATTGTTATTCATGTTTACATCAAAATGTTTGTGCTCACAGGACTATATTTTAGAATTACAATCAGCTGGAAACCAAACAAAATGATAATTTCTCTTTAATGTGAATCATTAATGTGAATTTACCCGATATGTATGTGGTCACAGAAGAATTGATTAAACCTTCAAAAAAATTAAAGAAAACTAAATATTGTGTGTCTTAATGTCTTAATGCTAGGAAGATATTTGTATGAACTCCTCAAGTATTTTACTTATTACAGTGTCTGACATACACTTAATTAAAGTCCAATCAAATCAAATATTTTTAAATACATTTTTGCTACAGAGGTTTATCACAGCATTTCATACTCTTTTAATGTGTCATGTTCTTATAATTTTATTATTTTACTTTCTTGCCCTGTGACTACAGGTGGAAAATAAAAATTTGCTTAAAACCTGGTACATTACATCTCTCCTTGTTTTATATAAGTTTAATGTTCTTTACACTCTGCTAGCCTGTCAGCTGCTGTCAATTAAACTCACACACATACACGCCTCTTCCACCCAGCTGAGACAAAAAGGAGCATTTCCCCACTGACATTAATTTTGACTACAAAAAGGGATTATTAAATGTGATTTCAGTTTGATTTTAAGAAAAGCAAGCAGCATTTGTGACTAATGTGGCCTCAAAATGCATTTCTCAATATGGAGTTGGTTTGTAACGCTCACACCTGTCTCCAGTCAGATAAGAGTCGCAGGTCAGAGTGTACTTGACCTCAATGCCGCCACTCTTGGCCGAACAGGTGACTTTGTTTGTCCCCTGATGCAGGTACCTCACACATGATCCCAGAAGGTCGTCATTTCTAAAGTCCTCGTCCCAGACCTCAATCCTCAAACCCAAGTGTGTGTCCACCTTCATAAAAAGTATTTATAAATATGACAACATTAAAAATATTATTATCATTTAGAGTTCTATAAGTAAAGAAAACAATAGTTCATGACATGTTTATACACACAGATATGATCTTGTACTTTCTCAGATCTATTAATATATCTAGAAGGACAAAATGTATCAGTATTTTTTGAAATGAGAAGATTTACTGACCGGGCCCAGATTATAATGGGCGTTCCACCAGGGGTAGTTTGACTTGATCACTTTAGTCTCGTGAGATTGGGAACCGTACTTTATCTTAGCATAGCTGTGAATAGTAGAAAACAAGGAAAAGCAACTGGTGAATTAATATTGTTGGTAGACCACCTTTAGATCTCAATACCGGGCCTCACTTTACTCACCTCTCAGTATTGCCAGTTATATCTCCTCTTAGATTCCAACCTTTGATGATGGTCACCATCAGTGTTCCCCTCCAGGCCTGTTTAGGACAGCAGTTGGACCCACAACCTGGTGAGGACTTCTTCACGGCATTGTCTTTTAAGTATTGCTCTATGGCAGCCTTCACACCTGCCTTCTTTTTCTCATTTGGCACCAGCTCATACATTGGCCTAAGGGAGTATGAAACAATGTCCGGGTGGTCCTTAAGGGTATTCAGCCATTTCCTGTAACGCATGGAGTCATTGCGAGAGAGTAAAAACTCCCCCAACCAACCGGTGCCTCCTGTCACCTCTGTGTAGTGTTGGTGGAGACTAGAGCTGGACAAGACAGTGGAACCCTGGTTCTGTAGGACTTTGTTGCAAGTCCCAACCTCAGGAGACAATTTCACAATCCCCAGGCCTACAGAGAAACCCAATGATAAGCAGTCGTGGACCTGGAAGACAGTCAATTCATAGTCAATGCATAATCTATAACATTTAAATGGGAAATTGATCTACTTAGGGTCAGAAGCAGGGCCAAGCCTCAACCTCACTTTTAATCACCTGGCAAGGTCTCAGTTTTCTCGACCCACCCTCCCTTTCCCTTCTTTTCATCCATTTACTTTATCCCTACCCACATCCCTTAATCCTCTCTTCCCCTCATCCCTTTTCATTCAATCGGTGCATATCTCTCCCACATCTCATTTTAGGTACCGTCTGGGGGCCTGTAAGCAACTTGGGTGGAAACACATCCTCCTAGACCAACAGATGACAACTTCTTCCACCTTCTCCCCTCCACATCCACACCAATTCATCTATTCTTAACATAAAACCCCCTGAAATTCAATTAAACCTTTAAATTGAATACTGTTGTTGTGTAGTCCTTGCTAGTGAAAGTGTCTTTATGCTGAGAGCAGTGAATGGTGCTTTACAATGCGTCACACGCGATGGGGTGCTCAGTGATCTCGAAGAAGATGGCAGCGTAGCGGGAAGGCTCCTTACAAATTTGCACATAAAACTACCCCCAAGATTCTTCAAACTTTTCCTACAACTCAGACCTGAATATGTCAAAACGTTTGTTGGACTTTAATTGCTGTATGGACAGTATATATTTATATATAAATAACTTCACTCTCAGTATCCAATCCTAATTCATAAAAGGCTATGAAGATGGCCTCTAATGATACAGAGAGTTTTTCCTTCTAAAGAATACTTGTTTAAATTGTAAGATTAAATTTCACATAAAGATTGTAAATCTTAAAGTCATCATGTAGAGTGTGAGTATTAATGCATTGTGGTAAGTGATGTGTGTTACATGTACCTCATTTGAGGTGAACCCATTCAGTGAGGACAAACAGATACGTGCAGCTGTGACCCGCCGGATTCGTCCCCCAAGGTCAACCTGAAAATGAAGGACAATGTTGTTGAGACAGAAAATATATGCTGTTTTTTTATTTGTTAAAGGTAATTAAGGTGTGTACGTGTGTGTGTTTTAACCTGGCGGATGTAATGTGTGCCATAGGTATCTATGAGCCGACTGTACTGAGCCCTGGTGGAGTTGTTGTAGAGAATTGGCAGGCTTGCCACAACCTTACCGAACTCACAGCTGAGGGGCGGTTTGCTTGACACACGGTAACTAGACACAAAGAGACAAAATAATTATTTATCTTAACAGAAAGTATCGAAATAAACTTGAATGTAAAATCTTCTGTGAAGACGCAGAGATCTTCACACCCTACCGATAATGGCTGCAGGTGAGTGCGTGAGTGCTGTAGGAGTAGCGGTCCTCTTTTGTCTTCTGTGAAGCAAACTTATACGCAGTGGAGCGTGTTCCTCCCACCTGCACACCAACTGATGCCTCAAACTTCTCTAGACCTAGGCCAATCTGATCAAAGAAAAAATAAAAGCTCAGCCATTCACCCAAAATCATCATTATAAAGTGTGTTAAATATAACCATTTATTCATATAACCATTCATACTTGTTCTGGTAGCCGTATGTACTAGCTGCTGCCACTAGCTAGTTAGAAGTCCTATTAGATAACTGTATCCGGAGCTTTAAGTAGGAGAGGTTTGTTTACACTACTACCATAGGAGCGGGGCCAGAATGAGCACAATAGTCAGACTCAGTAGCCTCCCAGTGACCACAGCCGACACAATCAGAGATTAGGTGATTTACAGCCAGGGGATTAATAGCGGCTACCAGGGACAATCCAGGGACAACGAAGACATGGTGGGTTCAAGCAGGGGCAGGGATAAGCCCGAAAGTATTTGTTTTTTTAAAGTTATTCATTCCCATTTTTCATATTTAGGCAGCAAGATGCACCAAAATCTAATCATATCAGTCCTTTTGATCAGAACTGAGCTGTCTAATTTTTTTATTTACTGCAATGTGAACAAATTCAGGACAATGGTGGCACTGAGCAAAATAATCATATGTCTACATGTCTGCCAGTAATGATAATATAAAATAAAATTATGATGTTGATGTTGTATTTGTAAAATTATGTATATATGATGTTTCCTACCTTCCAGTCGTTACTGTCCTCGTTGGTGTTACTTTCAATCAACGAGCTGTGGACACAATTTATAAGAAGGCTTTTTTCATTTCAGATGTTATGTTGCAGCTTTACTGTCTGTTAACATTTGTATTTGAAAATTAAATACAACAAGGAGACAGTGGTTACATAAGTTCAATCCTTTTTTAAAGGTATTAAATGCCACCCAATTTTTAATATTGTGTCTTTCAGTACATTACAGGCTGTCTGTAAAATTACGAATCAGACAAAACTTTTGGACTTAAAATTTGATCTGTAGACAGTAAATGGTGAGCTGAATTTGAGGAGCCAAAGATAGTGTTGTTGCATAATTAACAATTATGGTTCCCTTTCTGCCAGATTTCCTGCAGAGACAACGACTGGATGAGATAATCAGAGTCCGTTACTTTGATTGTATTAGAAAAGACCAGACGAGAAATCAATGAGGATTTGCTTTGAGCTTTAGTAAATACTGCCACAAGTATTTACTATGAAGGTACTGGAATGGCTTATACTTAACATATGAAAATGGCTGATACAACCCATTCAGAGATATAATGCTGTATAACTCAGTACCTAACAGAGGTGTGTACACTGCTTTTGATGGCAGCATTGCATCGGCTGAATGCACGCCAGTTCACTGCAGAGAGCGGCAGCTGAAAATGAAAGTGGTAACATTGTGGTTAACATGCACACATAAAGTATGTTCAACTGTCACTGGAAAATTAATTATTTATATATTATTGTTTATTTATTAATTACTTTCTGCAGCTGGTCGCCTTGAAGAGGGTTATTGTAGAGAGTACAGGTGCCTTCTGGGGAAAGATAGGTCCTCACATCTATCATGTAGGCTCCTTTACGCTTCAGGGTGACCACATCAAAGCCCTCCCCCACCAGGTTGTGGCCTGGTACAAAGGGAGCGGACTCACACTGACTGCGGCTCCCAGTCCGACAGGAGAGAACAGGGGAGTGATACGACAGAAAGAGGATGAGACTCAGATAGAGAAAGGGTGGGGTTGAAAAGGAGAGCATGGCTGGAGTTTAAAAGGAAAATGAAATATTTCAGAGAAAGATAAAAAGAATAGAAAAGGAAGTCAGTAGGTATATTTTCATCTGTAATGTTATTATCAATAAAGTTAACATTCATACATATTTGAACTTCCATCCCTCTGTATGGGGATGGAAATGTCAGTTTCCAGTTTAAAGGCACTGAATCTTTTATAATTTTAGTTTACTGTGTTACCATATTAAGGTTTAATGAACATGTTTAGTATATGTAACCTAACTTTTCACATTGATGGTTCCTCAGTAACACCAAAAACTCGTATCACTGAACATAAAAACACTATTAGATTTAGGATTTAAGATATTAGGATTAAGATCACTTTCCCCAAGTGGAGGTAATTTAGAGGTTTTTGGATTCACATCTGAGAAACAATTACACAAAAATCCATCATGAATCATGAAGTGCTTTCTGCAATGTTCCTCTATTTATAGGATATTGGAGTTGATGTTTAAGTTTTGCTGTATATCTAGCTAATATTTTTTAATATACTTAACCAAAAGGTTGTATGTAAAATGTTTATCTATGTGACACGAGACATTGTGGCTCAATTTGTTTGAAGTAATTTCATTGGCTGTAGCTCCTGTCTGACCTGAACGGTGGAATATGTTTTACTGAGGCCAAAGAAATGCATGTGCAGCCAGAGCGTTCCAGAAATAACACCAGAAATACAAACGATAAGCTGATCAAGGAGTTTGATAGCTAAAAAGTGTCATATTACATTAAAGTTGCTAAGTTCACTTATTTTTGCTGTTTTAATTTACTTTTCTCTGGGAGTCTGTAATCATTCTAATCAGTTGCATAATTTTTTTAACCACATATAAAAAAAGGTTACATGTTCCAGTGGCCCTGGTGTTTCGGTTTGATATGTTAAGCCGCCTGTGCCTGTGCAGGAGCAGTATATGGTACATTTAAGCTGAAATGTAAGAGATTGAACTGCATGATCAATGCTTTTGCTGTTAAGTTTTTTCTTACAGACTTTTTATTTTATTTTTAAGTTTCAATGATCAAACTGGGATCTCTATAAATTACAAAACAAAACCGAATCCTATTTTTTTCTTTGTTCCAACTTTAAAAAAAAAAAAAGTGCTAAAAAAGTTAAAATATTCTATTCCTCCTTTTACTGGGGACACCAGTTTGAAAACAAAATCCATAATTTCAGCTCTCATCTACAGTAGTCTTATAGTAAAAGAACAAAAATCCCTAAATGGTCAGTTCACACCATTTAGTAACAATAAATATAATAATTCAATAAATAAACTGTGAGGTGGCAGCAAAAAGAAGGATATTTCAAAATCAAATAAAACAAACTTCGATTCAAATGTCCTTTTTGCATTTAACGTTATAGTAAAAGTTTAATTAATGTGCATTATTTGTTACCTGTGAGTCTTTCAGGTGAGATGCAGATGAAGAGAGTGTGTCAGCAGAGGATATGGTGACACTGACAAGTCAGCAGGTAACAGCAATTTTATACATTAGGTCATGTGATGAAAAAAATATTTTAAGATAGGAGAAAGGTATTTACATTACAAACATGATGCCATGGATGCTTGAAAACATGAACCACACCTGTTCCTGGAAATAGGGCTGCAGAAATGACAGTTTCCTGTAAACCTTTGACAAGGTTGAGGGGACGATTTTCCATTATATAAGAAATTTTGAATTGTAATATTTAACCTCTTTCCTCAACAAATCCTTGAATATGTTATAAATGATAAATTGTATGTGTTAAATTATTGACGTGCATTAACGTCTGCACTGGACTTATAAAAACAGCATAAAATATTAAAATGTAATACCCAAGATTTATGTTGAAAGTTTTTTTTTACTTTTTGGCGTAACTGTGGAAAACATGAGATTTAAAACAGGAGGATAGAAAACAGTCAAGATAAAGTTTGTTTATTTTTATCACACGCTGTAAGACACTTTAGTTTCCGGTTTAGGTTGAAGGTCTCATTCAACCAGTTAATGTTCATTCCAGGTGCTCCATAGAAGCGTGTCACATGACCTTAAATATGAATGAAAGAACAATAAGGAATGTGTCTGTGATATTGGGTGTGTGTTTTGTTGGGGCGGTTAAAGAAAACAATAGACAATGGTGGCACAATCCACAAAAACTGGGCTGGGGGCCAGCGCATGCAAGGCAGTGCAGCTCCCAGTACCAGTGGTGCTTGGAACCATAATGAAATCGCTCAGAATTATATTACATTTATTGGAGCAACAATGGCGGCGAGGCCCTATTGAAACTGTTTGGATTATTATTCTTTCAGCAAATTAATCACATTTTTGGAAGCCAAAACTCATGAAACAAAACTTTCCAGCACCCGCTACAAAGCAGCCCCAGCAGCACAACAAAATCAGTACAAACGTACAAAAAATTCCCATACTCAAAATCCAACAGGAAGTCACGCATTTTTATTTCATGTCATATATATAATTATATGTATATGTCTTTTTCTGAAGTGCTTGCAAGTTTTGATTTACATTCATTCATACAGTTAAACATTTACAATGTCAGAACTTCAACCACTTTACCTGTATCTGGTGCTGCAGGAAATGCTCTAATAGACTTCAACAACACTGTTAAAGAAGAATAAAATGCTTCTCACAGCTTAGCAAAGTGCAAACCCCTAAACATTTTATTGTTAAAGAATACTGTATATATCAAAAGCAAGACAGTAAAACATGGTTTATTCCTCTAGAAGAGCAGGTGATTCCTCTCATTGGTTGACAATGTATGCTTGGATTCTTCTTCATTTGACACCAATTTAAGTTGGCGCAGAAGGACTGGACATAAATTCACTGGTTCAGATGAGGAAGAATGTCATCAGCATGAGTCATGTTGTTTAAGTTTCTAAGCATCCATACCATGCTTAGAAACTTAAACATGAACCACACCTGTTCAAGGAAATAGGGCTGCAGAAATTATGTTTCCTGTAAACCTTTGACAAGGCTGAGAGGACTTTCTTCTTTCATTAATTAAGAAATTTTAAATTGTAATATTTAACCTCCTTTCTCAACAAATCCTGGCATATGTTATAAATTATAAATTGTGTTAAATAATTGACGTATTGAGACTTAAGACTGTATTCAATGACTTTCCTCTGGACATGTTGTGTAGTGAGGCAAAGATAAAATTTAGGGTTAGACAAATTGCATTTTAAGCTACAGGTTTGCTAACACAAGTCAATTGTTTCATTCTGTTCTAAATAAAATACAAAAAAGAGAAACTGGTCAAAACAAGGAGACTTACAAAAGAAGGATTTTGTTTAATGATGAAAGAAAAACTCCAATGAAAACAGTCTAACAGTTCATCTGAACTTTGATGCTTTTAAAAGCTGCAGAGCTGATTGTTAAAACCTGGAAGTTTGCAACTGTGCCATCTTTGCATATCCTAAGGGGCGAAACATGCACTTTTCAAAGTGGTTATGTAAACAAATGATTCCGTTACTGAATATCTGTAAATAACAAAAAAAGAAAAATTAAATCAACGCTAAATGAAAAGAACTCAGAATAACACCTTCTCAAACTGCAGGGGTCTGCAATGACTAAAAAGAATTAAACATCTTATTAATCCATTTTCCAAAACAATAATACAGATAGAGTGCGTTGGCACACATACAGTAGAAATGGAAAAAGGTTAAAGGAGAAAAACATACAGTAAATGGTCCTTTTGAAGACATGCACATACAAAAACACAAGCTTTTGCAGACGTATTCTCAAACTTTTGCGCATCGTGTGAAACTGTTTCCACGGGGGGAACTCATTTCATCAGAGTCACAGGCATTCTTGTTTTTATATAATGGCATTGCCATGGCTAATAAAAGCTTGAGGTCCTACAGGAAGAATCTGCAATACTTCTTGATGTTCAGTGTGATTAAATTATCCATTCATGTTCAATAGTGCTTGGAACAAAATGATCCCACTTAAAATAATGCAATTCAGCCCATAAGCTTTGTTTATTGGGTGGTGTGTGTCATTAAAATAAATCACAGGTCTGGTTTGGTTGGACTGTGTGTTTGTTTGTGTATGAAGACGCAAGAGAATAATACAGCATGTGGCTTCTTCCTTTCAACCAGTACGTAGGATGATGTGGACTCCAGAGTCAGTAAAAACAGGACCGCTCATGTCTCCCACTTTGAGAGCAAAGGAGGCGTCTTCAAAAGGCTTCTGCATTTGACCTTAAAAACACAAACACAAGTCCTTTCATATACAGTAATAAAGTGATTATCCACATTAAAATAAAAATTCACACACAGAATGTCGTACATTATCAGTAGTGGTTCTTAAATGTTTTACAATACATTTAATTCAATTATTGATTGGTTTAAAGTTAATTATGTTTCAGTTTCAGTTTCAAGGTTAGTTATGACTAAGATTGCCACACACAGTGAAATGAATGAAACGAAAGCAACAGGGTTCACAAGAAAAAATGTATACACATATTGAAACTTCCTGACTAAAAGCACAGACTCTTCAAATTAAGGTGAACCAAATTTGCTGGTTTCTGTAGTTTTTAAGTAAACATTTCTCAAACATTAGGAAAGAGATTATTTGTTGGGGACTATTTTCAACTGCGTATTAATACACATTTATTGCTCTAGTGAATATTTACAGCAACAGGACGGTGTGTGGGGGGTTAATTCAAAGTAATAATGCTCATGTTCAACATAATGAAAGAACACCTCAGCCAAAGCTACACTGTGTCTCACCAGTGTGTCTTTAACATTTGATAACAATTGAGAGAAATAAGCTACACGGACAATATTTATTTTGGTTAAATTTGTTGTTGGTTTTGGTGATTTGTTGACAATAAGAAAACTACTGACATTCACCACACTTATCAGTTAACCTACTCTTCTGTATCTCTTCCTTTTGTCTGAATTTAAGCTAAGCTGGTACTGCACTACAAATTAGCTTACACAATACATCTTTTACATTTTGTTTTCTGAACTTAATGCACTGTCCTAGTAAATAAACTGACAAAAAAAAAACCTGCACACATTAACACATATTTGGCAACCTGTAATATACAGTATGTGTACAACTCATGCATTTGCATGTGTGAACACTAATGTATTGTTATGTGTGGGGATCATTGTGTGTATGTGAGTATTTTACCTCTGCCGAATAATCCCAGATCTCCACCGTTCTTAGCTGAACTGCAGTCGCTGTACTGAGAAGCCAGGGCCTCAAACTTCTCCTCTCCAGACTTGATCTCTTCTATGTACTCTACAGAGAATAGAGAAATAAAGAACAAATGCAATAAGCAGATCAGACCTAACTGAACCACGTCCCTCTCCTCCCCCAACCTCCCTAGGTGATGTCTTACGTACTCTGAATGAGTTCCAGGGCCTCGTCTTTAGTCCGAGTGATATTTTGTTCCCTCCAAGAAGATGGACGACGTGACTGATTATGCTTCACCAGGAGATGAGAGCAGCGTACCTGAGTGAGAAAAAAATAAAAATAAAACTTACCAGAACACCTCAGATTCAATAAGAGAGATCAGAGACTGGTCTATTGGGAGTTCAGTCAGTACCACTTAAGACATATAAAGTATTAACTAATGGTGTTAACATTGTTAATGAAGTGTTTATTAATGCTTTATATCAGTATTAAGCCATTAATAAGACCAATCGTCTGGTTTTAAAGTCCCTTAGAATCCGTTTGTTCTCGGTCTCATTAATTTTATAAAAGTTAGTTGATCGAGTCAGGAGTTGTACATCTTAATAAGCTGTTAAAACCCTTAAACCTCTCTGACTCGGTCAGTCATTACAAACTGATGCTTTGCAGTCAGACATACGATGAAACCAACTTGGCCATGTGCAATATCCAAATTGCAGAAGCAGCAAGTTTTTGATAGAGGTAAAATTGACCAAAACAGGACTGAAAGCTCAGAAACCAACAGGTTGTTGTAGTGCTTCAGTCCCAGTGTTAAAGGGGCTGCTATAATTTCTGCAAACCACCAGATGTCACTGTTCTTGCTGAAGCATGAGGTCACAGAGCTTCATAAGGCCTCGTCCACCCATCACTCATTTTATTTATTAAACTAGTTTAGCCTTGTTTTTTATAATGTTGTAGAAATACATTTTAATAATTACACATAATAACCTTATCTGGCTCTCCGCGGCCATCTCCCACCGGACGTTCCCACTGGCTGGCATTGGTGATGTGGTTAAAGTAGTACACTTTGCCTGGAGGGCAAAGACACAAAGAGAGAGCGAAAGAGTCATTAAAGCTGCACTCATTGATTATTTAACAAGTAGAAGCTCAAAACACAACATATTACACATATTATCACCTTATAAAGTTGTTATGGCAACTGTGTTTGAGGATGCACCACATCAGTATCGCTGGTACAAACCGTCTTCAGCAGGCTGCGTATCGATGATGACGATTGTGACCGATTCACATGATAAAGTTTCTTTGTCGGTACCGTCATATAAAATTCAGGGTTTCTGTAATCAGTTGCATTCTTTCAGTCACAATGGGCTGCCAACTCCACTGTAGTGCCACAGCAATCCCTGACCTCATAATACACATAAAACGTATTCCAGTGGATACACAAGCCTGAGTTTCAGTATCAGGAGAGCAACATTTTGACTGGTGGCTCCCTATCTGTGTTAGAAAAACAACTTGTTTACACATCGTGCAGACAGCAGCCCTTCCCCTTAATATATGCAACATAACAGTAACATTCAGGTGTTTCTGACCATCTGACAAATATCAGTCCTCTAAACTCTGTGTACACCGGCTCCTGAGAGAAACATCTGGATATTTACCTGTTTAATGTTCCACTTTTTTCCCCAGCAGCCAGTCACTAACTGAGTGTGTGTGCCACTGGGTGCTGGGGAGGCAGTGCACAGTGAGGTTATCACACCTTTATTTTGCTGACGAAAGGGCCTGCTGAGTTAAAGGCTGAAAGACCCAAAACAAACTATAGGTGAGTTATAGTTTCAGCTTCTCACTAAAGCAACTCCTCTCACATTGCACACCATCACTGGATTCATTGTTAACATTTAAAAAAAACACTGTTTAGGGCAGTTTTAAAAGGTACTGCAAAGGCACCTTTGGGGTGGCAGTAGCTCAGCGTGTAGGGATTCAAGTCCCACACACCAGAGTATGGAGTGTGGACTGGTAGCTGAAGAGGTGCCAGTTTCACCTCCTGTGCACTGCCGAGGTGCCGTTGAGCAAGGCAACCTAACCCCAAGAAACTGCTGCTAACACGGCAGCCCGTCACTCCACCATCTCCCTCCCTGTTGCATGTCCACAAGTGCATGAAGTGTGTATTTCAGCCTGTGTGTGTACAAAAAGAAAAAAGAACAATTTCCCCAATAGAGGATTAATAAAGTAAATCTCCTTCTTCTCCCTTAAGCTCCATTATCCTGGTACCTGCAGAGCTAAATGCGAGAAAAGTAAACAATTGTTGAGAGAAATCAGACGTCTGCTCATCTCCATCCCTCCACAGATGGAGAAAACCTCGCCCTGTCTGCAGGTGAGGCGCTGGAGCAGAATGACGTCATGCAGGGCCCTGCCGTAGCCAGGTTGAATGGATCAACACATAACAAACACACACACACACACACACACACACACACACACACACACACACACACACACACACACACACACACACACACACACGCACACACATTAAAGGTCGCTCACGCACTCGCTTTAAACACCACGATGCTGCTTTGGGAGCTGCTAGCTTGCGAGCTAAGTTTACTACACTGCCGCCCATTTAGCTGGCTAGTTAGCATATTTAGCCTTCAGGTGAGTTTGTGTGTTTGGTTACCTGAACTGCGGCTCATTCTCTTCTCCCACCCGGGCGGTAGCTTCTCCTCGTCTGCCATTATTTGTTCCGCAGCAACGTTTTCAGATTTAATTTCAATGTAGCTGCCGTGTGACAGGTTTGGGCTGCAAGCTAGGCGGATCACGACAGCAAGCGGCGGGTTTACGGCACGAGTTGTTTTCGGACTCGGCTCCCGCCTTTGACGGGGTTCTCCGCTCTCTCATAGGCTGACGCGGGCTGTCAATCACGATTGGGCTCATTTGATTGGTCGACCGGTTGATACACAAAGTAAATCAGCTTTGCGGTCACAGGACGGAGAGCGTTCAACCTCACAGAAAAAGCAAACATTTGATCTTCTGTTGTGAATTTCCAGGTATGAAAATCACATTTCACACTTTATTATTATATTATTTGTTTATATGTTACACGATGCTCTATATTTTAAAAACAAAACGTTGGTTAACACGTGTGCTTTGTTACATTGTGGTCGTATGTTACGCGTTGTGTGAACAAAAGCACCTTTTTTTAAAAGGCTCTGTTTTCTCTAATGTGGCACACTGTGAATGAACCGCATTGCAGGGAGATCGCTGGACTGTATTGGGGTTAAATGGACTCTACACTCACAGTTGTGATGCTAACAAGCTAACCGTGGTTTGTGTTTCCTTTCAGCCCGACAGGAACCGAAGATGATCGAGGTGGTTTGCAACGATCGTCTGGGCAAGAAAGTCCGGGTCAAGTGCAAGTATCCTTCACTGGAACTGCGGAGATAATGTTGAATTATGTGTCACATGCCACATGTGTAATACCTGTGTCCACGTGTTGTTAGCTGCAGTTCACACGAGCCTGGATATTTAACTTCTTCATCTGCAAGGTGAAGAAAGCACACAAAGTGGGTTTCCCTCGAAGTGTTTGCAGGATACTAGAAGTACAGCTGCAGTGGTCAGATATTTCATTTGATTATCACATTACAGGTCCTTTCACAGCTTTGTCTTGAACAAAATATTCTGCCTTCTTTCTCAAAATTGGCTACAAAAAAAAAAAGTCCCTTCATGATTCACAGTTTTGCATTTTCTTCCAGTCTAAAGAAATCATCATACATGGAGGACATTTACATCCATTATCTCCTCGTAGAGAGGGCAGCAAAACAAAACATATCAAACTTAGACTTCATTTTATTGATCCCTCAAGGAAATTTAATTTCCAGCAGCTTACAAAACACTTGTATAGAAAATAAAAGAGGTATGAAAAAATACAGTATAAGATAAACAATAACAATAAACTCTTGGCTAAATATAGAAAGTAAACAAACAGTAAACAATAAACTCTTGGCTAAATATAGAAAGTAAACAATAAACAGTAAACAAACTCTTAGCTAAATATAGAAAGTAAACAATAAACAGTAAACAATAAACTCTTAGCCAAATATAGAAAGTAAACAATAAACAGTAAACAATAAACTCTTAGCCAAATATAGAAAGTAAACAATAGGAAGTAAACAATAAACTGCTAAATATAGAAAGTAAACAATAAACTCTTAGCTAAATATAGAAAGTAAACAATAAACAGTAAACAATAAACTCTTGGCTAAATATAGAAAGTAAACAAACAGTAAACAATAAACTCTTGGCTAAATATAGAAAGTAAACAAACAGTAAACAATAAACTCTGCTAAATATAGAAAGTAAACAATAGGAAGTAAACAATAAACTCTTAGCTAAATATAGAAAGTAAACAATAAATTCTTAGCTAAATATAGAAAGTAAACAATAGAAAGTAAACAATAAACTCTTAGCTAAATATAGAAAGTAAACAGTAAACAATAAATTCTTAGCTAAATATAGAAAGAAGAGATAAGAATAAAAGTAAAATAAAATAAATGTAGAGAACTGTATAGAGGATAAATATAGATAAATATATAGGACTGTGTATGGCATTGTGTTGTTATACAGTGGATCTCACCTAAATCACACAACAAACAAAGCCTGGAGTCGCATTAAACCTACCTGTCTCTAGAGATAATGGTATTGTTCCTGAATGCAACTTTGCAACTGTAGCTATTGTTTATAAGTGTTTGTAGTTTTTATTTATACCGTATATCAACACAACATTTTAATCCTGATTACCTGAATATCACAAAGTAACCTGTTCTGGAAAATAAATGACAAATTATTTAATTAAAATCAAGACTTGAACTCATTAGCCCAGGCCTAAATGTCCCAGCAACAAGTCCTTAAATTCAAGCCTGAAAAAGTGTAGGTTTATTCACTTTAAGACTTAAAGTAGATGTTGTTTTCATTGTTATTTAATCTGCAGATTGTTTGTTTAACTATTTGTTCTGTAAATGTGACAGTTGCCTGGAGCCCAATGTAACATCTTCATATGATGTAAGATGAAGAAAAGAAGAAAATCCTCGTAATGGACCAGTCTCTGGTTCCAGCTTCTCAAATGTGCCGTACAAATCTGCAGCCACGGTAGCATGCCAACCAACCATGAGTGAACTGTCTAGTCATGATGTCTTTCATATCAAATGAAGACCATACTGTAGTTCAAGGCAACTTCCTCCAAGATCAACAAATACATCCTCCAAGTTAGACAAGATGAGAAGGAACAGGATCATTTTAGTAAACACTGTCTGCAGTTTTAAACTCAGTGTGTGTGTCTCTTATTATTATTATTATTATTATTATTATTATTATTATTATTATTATTATTATTTTCTTTATGCTATCACACTGCTCTTTCCTTAACCCACCCTTGCTTCAGCTCTGAGGATAGCATTGGAGATCTGAAGAAGCTCATTGCTGCCCAGACAGGAACACGATATGACAAAATTGTATTAAAGAAATGGTAAGATACTCGTGTGAAGTAATGCCCTGCTTGAAGATAACAAGTGTTTCTGTGGCTGTGTTCTTTCAGCAGCTAAATGTTCTTCCTCTGTTCCCACAGGTATACCATATTTAAGGACCACGTGACTCTGGGTGACTGTATCCTTTCCTAAACAATGTTTTTAGCTGAAGAGTAGCTTGTTTATGAAATTATAGCACCAAATTTCATATATTTCAGTCAGACAACTCCTGTTTTGAAATTCAATTTCAATTCAATTTTATTTGTATAGCGCCAATTCATAACAGAAGTTTTTTCAGGACACTTTTCAAATAGAGCAGGTCTGGACCGAACTCTTTAAAACATTAATTACAGAGACCCAACAGTACCACCATGAGCAAGCAGTTGGTGACAAGGGCAAGGAAAAACTGCCTGTTTAAAGGCAGAAACCTAGGACAGATCCTTCGGCTCTAGGTGGGTGGTCGTCTGTCTGGGGGGGGGAGGAGGGGGAGAGAGGGAGAGGGAGAGAGAGAGAGAATTGGCAATCTAGCAGGACCATGGCAGGAGGCTCCACCAGGATCGATGAGAAAGCACAAGAACTCCGGGGAAGAAGTGAAGTTAGTAACATGCATTAATGGAACATGAATGAGTGCAGAAAGAGAGAGGAAGGGAGGAGCTCAGTGCACCATGGGAAATCCCCTGATAGTCTAGGCCTATAGCAGCATAACTAAGGGATGGTTCAGGACTCACCTGATCCAGCCCTAACTATAACCTTTATCAAAGAGGAATGTCTTAAGCCTACTCTTGAATGTGGTGAGGGTGTCTGCCACCCGAACCACAACTGGAAGCTGGTTCCACAGGAGAGGAGCTTGGTAACTGAAGGCTCTGGCTCCTGTTCTACTTTTAGAGACTATAGGAACCACAAGTAGCCCAGCATTCAGAGAACGTAGTGTTCTAGAGGGGTAATAGGGTACTATGAGCTCTTTAAGATATGAAGGGGCCTGACCATGAAGAGCTTTATAGGTGAGGAGGACGGTTTTTAAATTCTATTCTACATTTTACAGGGAGCCAATGCAGAGAAGCTAGTACAGGAGAGATGTGATCTCTTTTTCTAGTTCCTGTCAGTACTCGTGCTGCAGCGTTCTGAATTAATTGGAGCGTTTTAATGGACTTAATGGGGCAACCTGATAATAAAGAGTTGCAGTAATCCAGCCTTGAAGTAACAAATGCATGGATTAGTTTTTCTGCATCTGTCTGTGATAGTATGTGTCTAATTTTTGTAATATTACGTAAATGAAAGAAGGCAGTCCTGGAGGTCTGCTTTATGTGGGAGTTAAATGACAAATCCTGATCAAAGATAACTCCAAGATTCCTGACAGTGGTGCTAGAGGCCAAGTTAATGCCATCTAGAGTAACTATATCTTTAGACAGTGAGTCTCTAAGGTTTTTGGGGCCAAGAACAAGAAATGTTTATTGCAGCAGTACAACATAGTTAGATTTCAGCGTCTAGGCTTCTCTAACATCTCTACATAAAGGTATCTGCAGGGAGCGATGAGCCAATACCTTAATGGTAATAAACGTGTACCAAGCAGATCTGTTGTACTTAACCGCAACCTCTTCAGATGAAATCCATGATGGGATGAACCTGGAGCTGTACTACCAGTAGACTACCATGACTCAGTGCTACACAGATGCTACACCTTTTCAATGTTATGCACGCACACACACACACACACGCACACACACACCGGTGGAATCGCTGGAATCTGTTGCAGGAAACCGCCATGATCAGACAACGCAATTGAAAGAGACGAGAAGCGGTATCTTTAGAGCAGAAAACACACACATATGACATTGATCTCAGTTTTGGCTCGTAATTTTTGCCCACATATTCTATGAAAGACATGTTATTCTACAATTTTTGTTTTGATATTTTTGAATTAAAGCAGACATTTACCTACCTACAAGTCTGTGGCTGGTCATTGAAGGCAGATACTGTATTACAAAACTGTAACCTCTTGTGTGTTTAAAACTTCTCTAAATTAAGGTTAATTATACTGATGTTACTTCCAGTTCATTTGAAACCTGTAACTTTGTACTGTAAGTCTTACAAGTGTGAAAAAATATGATATACAGAAATAACATCTGAATGTACACATGGGCAAAAGTATGTGGACAACCCTGTTGACATACTGTACAATTGTGTACTTTTGGTCTCAGTGGTGGAAAGTTAATAACGATTTACTGACTATAAACTGGATGTATGTTCTCTCTATTAAAATGTTCTGTTACTTTTTATATTTGTACTCTCAATACATTTCAGAGGAAAATATTGTTCTTGTAATACATTTGACAGCTGCAGTTAAATGTTGCTTTACAGGTTTAAATGTTTAAACCAAAAGATATAATCAGTTTATAAAATATAATACATTGTTGTGAATTACCCAGCAGTGTTGAAAGCTGTTACAAAGCTTAACTTCTACCAGCTACAATACTGAAATCCTGCATACATGAATGCATCAATGATGGAACAATATAACTCTGTTAAGTAGTACATACTTCTGTACACAGGAAAAAAAAGTTGACTGAGGTTTGCTCAACTGTCATTGGAGCACAGAGCAAAAAAGGGGACTTAAGAAGGTCAATTAGGATGGCAGCTGTGAGCCAGACCTTATCACCCAATGTCAGTGATAACTTCACTGGTGCTCTAGTCCTTGAATGGGAGCCAATCCCTGCAGTCAGGTACCAAAAGGTTATGGAGAGCCATCTTAGAAGAGTGGAGGATGCAGGTTTATTTCCAAGGTTTTGAAAGGAGATGTCTGACAATCAGATATGGGTGTTACGTTTACACTTTATTCCAAATATGTTAAAAATAAAAATAAAAAATACACATCAAGTCAGCTGAACAAAGGTTTTATTCACATTACTAAACAGTCATCAGATCACAGGTAACAGCACCTCTCTCACACGCACTCAGCCACACTCATGCATATGGGTTAATGCAATCGTTGGAAACCAGGTATCACGCAGACCCCTAAACATACATTATGTCAGTATACATATCAGTATATACACATACAGGGTCTACACATCTCCTCTGGAGCCACGTCAGCAGTAATCAGAGTAGTCCTCCTCCACATAGTTGGCTGGAAAGAACCCCACCTGGAGACACAGGAGCAGTGCAGGTAAGACAAGACGCCTAAAAATGACTAAATGTTTCTCCTTTTGTGGGCGTTTGTGTGCAAATTCCTCACCCGGCCGTACACCTCTCCTTTCCACCAACCACTGTGACCTTTCTTGGAGAGGATCTTGATGGTGTCTCCTTCCTGCAGCGACAGCTCTGAGCGGTCCCTGGCCGAGAAGTCATACCTGGCCCTCGCTACGCCGAAACTCCTCATGCTGCCTCCTGCCAGACGGGGCAACATTACAACACAGATATGTTTAAAAGAGTGGTTGGACATCTTGGGAAGTTACATTATTTGCTTTCTTGCTGAGCGCTTGATGAGAAGATCCACACCACTCTCATGATCATAATAAGGAGGACATGTACCTTACCTGGTGTGCTGTGTGGCGTGTTGTTAGGCAAGTTGCTTTCCTCAGGTTGTTTGTAAGGCGTACGCAGTGTGGTGTCCACATCCTTGAAGTACTCCTTCAAAGAGTTCTGCTGGTAAAACTGAATCATCTCCTAATGTAGGAAGAAGAAGAAGAAGAAGGAGGAGGAGGAGAAGAGAGCAACGTGAGATATATGTCACGTTTCCTCTGGTCAGCATTATCAGATTTGGATCGGATGATGTAAGACTTACGATTAATCCCTTGAATGCTTTCTTCTCATTGATGCGATAGAGGCCTTCAGCGGACGTGATCTTAATGTGTCGGATGTCCATGTTGAATCTGGAAGAGCAGAAAGAGACGGGAAAGTTTTCAGAAAATAATAACATCAAAGGGAAAGTTCCGTGTTTGGAGAACTTTAATAATTTGCTCACAAAGAGGTTGAATAGTGAACTAAGCATTGTTAAGTTTGATAGCTGAATTGAGTCGCTTCTGCTTTCGAAAAAGGAAAACAGACTTATCCACTTCTGCTTAATAATTAGATTAACGGCTGACAGTGTTTTGAATCATGTGGAGAAGGTTTAATTCCCTGCCTCTGAGAGGAAGTGATATCTGAGATTATAAACATCCAACAATTCATCTAAGCTTATTTAAACATCCAGTGTGTAACATTTAGGAGGATCTATTGTCAGAAATTGAACATAAAATTCATTGGTATGTTTTCATTAGTGTATAAACACAAAACAAGAAAGGTTATGTTGTTGTTTTTTACTTAAAAGGAGCCTTTTACACGTACAGATGCTAACCCCAGAGAGGACAAACCAAACTCTGGCTCTAGATAGGGGCCTTCACGTTTTTTCACGTAATTTCTCCTTCACGCTCCAAAGGGGAGGGTGAAGCAAGGGAGTTGCAATCTGCAACTACACTGCTAGATACCACCAAATCCTACACACTGCAGAGCTCCAGGATTGGACTAAACATTCTCTTTAGTTGCACCTGAAATTTAGCAGATCAGATTTTTATTTGCATGTCTATTAGTTCTGGGGTTGCATCACTTTCTGTGCCTCTCTCCTCTGCTCTCTGTCGTGAGCTGCAGGTCTGTTTGACTGAGGGTCGGGTGGGGGTACACATAAGTGTGGCTTCCTTCTGCTGCATGCATTCACACAAAATCCAGCAATGCAGCACCTTCTCGCAGGTTTTTGCAGAGTTGCGTGGTGGCGTGGCCTCGTTTATTTGTGCCTTAGAACAATGGTTCTCAACTTTTTAAATCGTGAAGCACCAGAATAATCTGGTTGGTGTTCACAACCCCCTCCCCCAACGTGTAACACATAAAAGCTGACAAATCGACACAGGAAGACCATTGCTTCCTTGCCCAAAGACAGAACAACTAATTTGTGTGTTGATTTTTTGAAATAATGGCACTTTAACAGTCCACAGTCAGCTTTCTGCTTTAGGCCTAAAAGCACAATAATAATAATAGAGATACATTCTCATATTACAGAGGTATTGTAAAGTATACAGCCTATAGTATATAGTATATAGTATATCATTTTTGAGTTCTTGTCCTCTGTAAGGTATGATTGCTGAGAGCTGCTTCCTGTCATGCCACGTTGCTTGCCACAGTATGTTATTTTATTTTTTCCTCCGCAAACATTTTGCAATTATGTTGCGCCCCCAGGTTGAGAACCTTTAGAACGTAACCGCTGTAAAACAATCAGGAAATAACATTTTATTTCTGTGATTCACAGCTTCGTTCTCGCCATCGGTGCCACCTCTCTTCATGTTTTCACTTTTCTGTCAATTGACTGATTAATAAATCATACTTGATTACATACAACCATTGTCTCAAAAGCATTACAATGACTATATTTCAACATGTAGCTATATGACCTGTTTCAATCTGAAATAAACTCATTGAAATGCTGTTCAAACAATATTATACTTTATATAACCAAGACATCTTAAACAATCTTCACTTTTTAACCTAATTTAGACATATTTTGACCTGTTAAAGGCCACATCAGTGTTTACTGGGAGGTCATCTTCAATCTGTAAACAGAAAACATTCCTCTTGATAAAGTTCTCCCAAAATTCAGCTGTGCTTTTGCTGATAAGTTTGTGAAGACTTACTTGATGCTGATAGCAAACTCTCCTCCATCTTTCTGCCGCACAAGGAAGGTTCCATCAGACCGGGACATTAACAGGTTTTTGGCAGCGGTTCTGTCCATGTTCCCTGCAAACCTTCAATCACAACGAGAATCGCAACCAATGTAACTTTTGAAAGAAGAAATAACACAATTTTCAACATTTCAAAGTATAAAAAGTTGAATCCACCAATGTCAATGTCTACTTTCCTCCCTGACTTTATGATTCTCTGTACTTGTGCCACTGTAACAGTTTTAGCATTTAACATTATCTCGGATCTGTCACGTGAGGCCAAAGTGGCTCTTAAAAGTTACAAAGTTTCGCTTTAAGGTTGCAGTAACACTTTACTTTAAGTGCCCCTTATTAGCATTTATAGGCAGTATACAAGGAATTAATAAATGGTTTATAACATACTACTATATTATGTAGCTGTAAGAACCTTGGGGTACAGTATTTGTCAACCGTTCTAACTTATATAAAGACATATTTTATGTTATTACAAGTGTATTTTACTATATTATCATTCATTATCTGTTTATACACCAGCCTCCACTTATGGTATAGGAGCTATAGTTGTTGTGGATGCATAAATACACACTTATAACATCTCTTACGCCAACATTATTTTGTGTTATAAGATACGATTATTGATCCCACACAGGGGAAATTCACTATATATAATCAACCATTTATGAAATTCTTATGTACTGCTTATACTAAACATGGGCAGAGAGGGTTAAAGTAAAGTGTAACTGTTTTATTTGCCATTCCAGTTAATATTTGAATATAATAAAGATCACATAGACGAATTCAGCAGCTGTTTTATGTGTATGAAGACATATTTTATATGATTACAACTGTGTTTTACTATATTGTCTTTGCATACAGGCTGGTGAAGCATTGCAAACAGGCCAAATTACAGTTGTTGAAAAACACATAACACTTATATCATCTTATAACTACACTGTAGTATGTTACATGTTTATATACTGATAATAAATGCTAAATAGGGGACGATGTTAACCACCAGGTGGAACCATTTTCGAGTATCATACATTGTTGCTTAACAGTGTTTTCACAAGCTGTTGTGCTCAGGAGCAGAGAAGAGAGACTATAAAATAGCAGCTTGATAAGGTTATTTTACACATGGAAAACAATGGTGTGAGGTGCTCGATCCCATGAGTGTCACAGTTTGTCCCAAACACAGCTTTAAAAACACCAGTAAATTACAGTTCTGTTTTTGTGGCTAGTATTTTCTGTATCAGCTCCGTTT